TGTTTAGGGTGTCGGCGCGTGTACTATGTTATCACGCTCGCGGGCTCTTGTCGAGAACGTGTTGCACAAAGGAGTGACTCAAGTTCCTTCATTAACGACTTACGAGTGAGAGACATGGGCAGGCAAGCAGAGCCTTGCGCGTCAAGTCCATCACACCCATCATGTATATCTCTCTGCGTACTCCCCGGAGATCTTGGAGAGTCGTATATCCTGCCGGGTACACGCACAAACAGAACTTTTCTTCGATGAAGTCTGATATTTCTTGTAAAAAACTTGGTACATTGAGTGTTCCGGTTCCTGGTGAAAACAACGATGCGCGAGCACGCAAAGACACACGGAGCTGGCCCGAAGCAGCTTCGCAGGGTATGCATTAGTGTCGCTAAATGCTATGCTCCAGCCTACCTACAACGGTGTCCAAGCAAGGGTGCCTTTGAACACTCTTTCACAGCTCTCATCCTACAAGCTTTCCACTGTAATGTATGTTGACTACCTAAGCGGTGATGTCGGTTGGGCATTGTGCCACCGAAAAAATAGCTATAATGTAAGACTACTTGCTGCTTGGTGCTCATAGAATGCTGCTGGTTTGCGGGGGAGACGATACTTCAAAGATTATTCAGAAAATAGGCTCAAATTAGCTGTGAATCCCATACTATTTGGTGGTCAATGCTCCACGGTGGCGGTGAAAGAAGAAACTGAGCCTCGATCCGAAGTGGACTATGGGCTGTTTGTGTCTTCCCGCTCTCTTGTTGCTGATGATCTGCGTAACTTAGCGAGTGATGCACACGAGCATTTCACGCTACAGAGCTACAGCTTCAATCCCATGTTCAACTCACAGCGTGGTTCCCGCGATCTTGCCTTCAAGTATACCCAAGATTAAAAACACGTCGAGAGATGGAGAGGTGTTGTACCCAAAAACAAGAGCGGCTGGGTTTTTTGCCGTTCATTTTTCTCGAGCGTGACCCTGGACACTCGGCATCCGGTACCTGTCTATCTCTGCCTGCCTGTGTCTGTCTGTATAATTCCCCTTTCACTGTCCACTGTCCACTCCCTCCTCTCTCCATTCTCTCGTTTCCACACTCCACTCTACACGCTGCTCTACACTCTCCACGGGCTCGCTCTACCTCAATCTCCGAAGATCTCTAGCGGGACTGCCACTTCCTCCCCGGGATGAGAACGCCTTTCCGCGCGCGAGCAGGATGGACATCTAGGCTTTGAGCTGTGTTGAGTGTTGGGCTGTCAGAGCTTCTAGCAGCTTGCCGCAGGTGGGCAGGCTGCGTCCTTGCAGCCGCCATGGTGTGCTCTGCTTCTCCTGAGGTGAGTCGTGTGTTGTTCACTGTGTTTGCTCGAGATTGCATTCTTGCCGTTGTGGAATTCGCGCGCACGTAAAACATCCGCGAATTTGCTTGATGAAAGAGCACTTTTATGTATGCATACAACACCAGTCTACATCCAGTCGCTCTCCTGGCAGCAGGGACAGCGTGCCTGTAGGTCTCGCGTAGCAGAGATGTACCGTCTTCACATGATTCGGTATTTCTCGGCGTACTCCCCATTCCATGACAATCGCCCGCTCAGGAACCCTCCTTGCAACTCAGTAATTTGGAAGCAGTCGTCGGCTGCACTGTACATTGACGATGTTGTCGTCGAGACGGCCTTATTTGAACACCACCAAACTCTTAGCAGCTTCCCTTGTCCCCTTGTTGCAGAAGACCATGCCCACTGAGCCGCCAACATCGCTTGAGTACCTCTTCCGGCGTTGGGGGCTCGACCCCGCCCTTCGGCACTACCATGGCCGGAGTCTTGGGATCGAACATCTGTATCCTTGGCAGGCAAGATGCCTTGCGTTGCCCGGAGTCGCAGAAGGACGGCAGGATCTCTTGTACTTTGCGCCAACGAGCGGGGGCAAGACCATGGTTGCTGAGCTTCTTTTGCTGCTCAGGGTCATGGGTCTACCCCTGGCGTGTTCCACGGGAGAAGGAGAGGACGAGGGACGAGCGGCTACTGCTGCTGCTGCTGCTGTTGTGGAGAGCGGGGCGGTAACGGGTCTGCCGCGAAAAGGTATGACGTGCTGAAGGATAGGGTTATCATCCAAAGCTACTCTCCTGTAGTCCATTTTCCCCCGCCAAAGATTTCGGGTTTTGAGTTTAGGTGTGTTCACGCAGTGAGGGAATTGTAGGAGTTCGGAGTGCATGAGAACCGGCTATCGGTCCAGAGTGGTTCGGTTTCGTTTGGCACTCTCAGCCCTCCGGGCTGACTAACGCTGCTTTGATAGCACATAGAAGACTAAAGCTGCGAGGCGCCAGCATAAGCTTTCTGTCTCCTACAGTTCCATGCCTACCAATAGATATCGGTACAAAGTCACCAGCTGTGTGTTGATAGTGGTTGCTACTGGCCAAGTGACCACATTCATGCTCGAACGATGCAGCCGTCAACGGTACGCTCGTTTTCGGATTCTTTGCCCTGCTGTCGATACTCTTCCACTTCACTCTTTTGTTTTCCGGTTGTTTTTTCTTGGCTGCCACGACCGCTGATGTTGCCCATGGTCACTCCCTCACGCCATGCCAAAGCTCCTTGCTCTATTCCCGGTTAGTTGGCAGCGAAACTGCAGCCCTACTTGCGTGCCCTTCATTCGAAACGAAACACCCCATTCTTTTGGTCTCAGACCGTTCAATCTCCAAATAAACCCAACGGCAGACGTAAGCTTGTTAAACCCCCCCAGGTCCAGCAGCTGGGAGCTGGGGTGAACACTGATGTCGTAGCCTTTTCCTTCGTCTAGACGTTGTAAAGAGAAGACTTTTGCCTCTCTAGCCCTGATTACTGTCTCGTACAATTTGTGCGTGCGCTGGGCGCGCGGTGTTGGTGCTGTTGCTAAGACCAAACCGCTACTACCAGGAGGGCAATAATCGTCCTTCCCTTCGTCAGCATGGTGACGGAGAAGGCAAAGCACCTGCAGAGTATTGTGGCGCCCTACAACCGCGGCAGGCCTAAGAAGAAGAGGATACAGGCGAGCTCCTCACAGCAGCACCACCGGCAGTTGTACAAGCAGTAGTAGTGCCGAGTCATAAGTCATTCGCATGTTTTGCTGTATACCATCCCATGGCAGCAACACCGGTTGCGATGAGCAAATCGCAAAATAGGTAGCAGGCGTGGGGAAGGCAACATGGCAATTTCTCGCATGTGAGTGGCAATGCCAAACAACTCACCGTCGGCGTGATTCCTCTGATAAGAGTCAGTCGATTCTGACTTACTCTGATAGATGATCGCAGGCTGTTCAGTCCACTGGCTCGCGGGCGTGCATTCACACAGGGCTGGCAGCTAGTTCTGCCGCACACGACCTTCCTACATACCGCACCCCGTTTCTCTGCCTGTCTCTGTCTCTCTCTCCTCTCTCTCTGCCTCTCTCTCTGCCTCTCTCTCTGCCTCTCTCTCTCTCACGGGAGTCGAACCCGGCCTGTATTCCACGTCAAGAGCGCAATATTCAGAAATAGAAGAACTTTAGCGCAAACGCGGAGAGACTCCCGTCCCACGTGCGTGTGCCAGTGTAGTACCAAATGGGGCGATTGGGCCGACCGGTGTGTTTGCTGCAGTACACGAAGACATGCATGCACTGCAAGACTGATGTTGACGAACAAAGTGTTGTCCGGTGGAGTCAGTCCTCGTGTTCTCACCATATGCAGCTGTTACTTTTTACGCGATACGCATGCTCTCGTGAAGACTAGGAGTACAGTACGAAGAGCGAGTCTCCACCGCCACGATAGACGTTTCTCGTCCACCCCGTTCCAGGGGAGAAACCCACCATGGAGATGTTTACCCCGCAAGACAGAAGCACCCTTGTGTGTGGAACATCGTTGGTCCGCCAAATTGTGCTCGAGCAGGTTAGAGCCCTGCACGGGGCAAAGGGCGGCGACCTTAAGCAAGCCCAGATCGCGGTGTGCACGATCGAGAAGGCGAATGGCCTGGTCAATCGCATGGCGGCTGCCGATGTGAGATGCCAGAGGCATCGAAGTTGCTGTTGGCGTTGGCTGTTGGTGGTGTTGGTTGCTTGCGAAACAGGTCTAGCTCAAACGGTCGTCCCCGTTGTGGTACCAACTTGTTCTTACGGTGTGGTTTTAGGATGCAAGTGTCTTCTGCAGAAAGATGTTGGGTTTTCGTTCCCCGCTCGACTGGCCGCCGGCCTGTTGCAATGGACCGAAGCTAGCCAGTGTGGTACATACGTTCGGCGCGCTGTTCCAGCGAACTGTCGCCGACAGTCCCCATCTCCGTCCTCTCTCTCGCAGGAGCTGCACGAGCTGTCGTGTCTCGTGGTGGACGAGCTGCACATGATCGGGGACGGTGGACGAGGTCAGATACTGGAGCTCCTGCTGGCCAAGGCAAGAGGAGAGCGCAGAGCTCACGGAAAACACGCTTTCAAGCACACCCTTGCCGAATTCCGCGCGCGCGCGTGTGTGTGTACCATAGACGGAACTGGCGACGTTCTTTGGTTTCTTTGGAGGACCAAGGTTCCAAAGGATGGTGCTGGATAAAGCGACGGGGTTCGTTGAAAGGGCCTCGAAGTAGTGTTCACGTTCACGCTGTCGCACACTTCTATGTGTGCGCTCGGAACAGCATCGGTGCGAGACTATCTTCCTTTTTTGTGTGTGGAATATACGTGCTCGCGTTGCAACACAGCAGTGTTGGATTTTGTTGATGCGGGTGCTTGGGCTGAACCATGCGTGCTTACTTTCGCTGACCCCCCTTTGTATCTACCAGCGCGTGGCGTAACCACCTCCGTGATCTGTCCGCTCCGCTCGGAAAAATTCGATATTTTACGACAACAGGTGGTCCGAGCTAACCGGGGCGCTGCTGTAGCACCTGCAGTACCCCAAGCAGAAACCGATGCAGACGTTGGTAGCAACCAGCCGGCACCGCCGAGACAGCACACCCAGGTAAGGGTGCGATTGTGGGGCAGTGCGCAGGTATGCGCAAGCGCTGTCTGCCATGCGTAGCGTTCTTGAGAAAGCTTAATTAATGAAGAGTTTTTGTTGACACTTCCTTTCCCTTCGGGCAGCAGAGCCGTGCACCCACGACATGTCTCGCTAGCGAGTTAGTTTCATCCGTTGCGGCCTAATACTCGAGGGCGAGCTCACGCCTTTGATCCAATCGATTTTCTCATAGCCAAAGGTTAGGCTTTCACTTGGTGTGTTTGCTCCCAATGGGTGTTCCCGTAATCAAAGGCTTTCGTTTGGTGTCGGCCCTGCAAGCTTGTCCGCGCGGGAAGGGATATGAGGTCTACCTCGTACTTTGAGTCTGTGGAACATGCGCAGCTTATCACGCGTTGAAAGTTCTCGCCGCCACACTTGTTTCACTCGACGAACGCCCCAAAACATCAAACGACGCCTCACTCGCGATCAACAAACAGATCGTGGGCATGAGCGCGACGCTGTCCAACGGTGCGGAGCTAGCCAAGTGGCTCGGTGCGACTCTCCACGTGTCGGACTTTCGGCCCATTCCTCTGGACGAGAGGGTCGTGGTGAGGATGCTTGGGCGTGCGCACGCGTCAGCCTCTGTTCCAGCGTAGTATACAGGATGAACCACGGGCTTTTGGTGGAAGCTAAATAGGATGTTACCACTTGTTGTCGAGAGGGTCTTGGCTCAAATCGTGTGTCGGGATCAGAACACAGAGCTTGATAAGTCTTGCCCAATGAACACTTGGGTCAGAGAGCTGGAAGCGAGCTGGTTCCGGGGTGTGTTCACCGTGTATTGGGTGGTTCTCGAGCCGTAGTCGAAGCTCGTTCCTTGTATGTGCAAATTGCAAGCAGTGCTCCTTGCGGCGTCTTTCCCCCGCCCCTACTGTCACCATCAGGTTCATTCTACTTCAAACTACCCCGCTCGCTCACATTCGTATTTTATTCCCTTGTTCGGTGTGCCGCCTTGAAGCTTGGGATGCACGTATACGACAAAGAGGGATTCGTCGTCAGGGAGTTTGCCGCGCCGGCGCACCCCCAGTCAGACCCAGACCATGTTGTGACTCTATGCAGGTAAACGCAGCACGTAGCATAAGAGCCTCGTCTGCTTGGAGTGTGTGTGTCCCCTTGCTGTGTCCTATTCGTCCTGTGAGCCGCGCGAAGCCAAGTACCAACACCTGTGTGTTGTATCGCATCGGATGTTTGTCTCATTTGGCTATACTTTTTTTTTTTCGTTGGTTTCTTGGAAGCAGGGAGAGTTGCCGCGCGGGGGACCAGGTGATAATCTTTTGCTCCACCAAACAGTTCTGCCACAACTGCGCTCTCAAGGTGAGACTCCTCGCTGTGACGTGAACACGGCCACCGGGCCCAGGTGTAGGCGGTAGACCAACTGCGTGCTCCCGCACCGCCGTGTTGGAATTTTTGACCTGCAGACAAACACATGTATTGAGGTGTTTGATCTGCTCAAATGTCTAGACGAGGCACCCCCGCGAGAGGCCGATGGCTTGGTACGGAATGCAGCGGAACGCATTAATGTACTGGACGAACCGCGCCTGATTATTTGTGGCGTTATACCTAACTCATATCGCCCATCTGGTGAGATGGGCACGACGAGGACTTCGTCCACCTCGGGCACACGGGAGGTAATCGCGGACAATGGTGCTACATACAGGCACGGGTTCCCGTAGAGATCAGCGGCGCGTCAGATTGGGGGGCGTAAACCGCCCGTGAGAACCGCTCGGCTCAAAAACCGCCCTAAAATTTCACGGCGTGATTTGCCACGATTGGAGCGGCCTTTTTTGGCACTCATCTTATGTTCTCCAGTTCTCCAGTCGATGTACACAGCGATGGTACACCGAAATCCCGAAAATAACCGTTCGAACAAAACCAACATCAAAACCAGTTGAAACCAAACGAGACGGAGCAGAACCAATAACCAAGAAACAAGTCGACGCCAAACTCTTCCCCGATAGGTGGCGAAGAACCTTGAGGTGCCTGCGTCGAAATCGACGGCGTCGAAACGCTCAGCGTTGATGGCACAGCTGTCCAAGGAGATGGCCATGGGTGTAGATCCCATCCTACAGGCAAGCATACGGCACGGGTTTGAAAGGAAGAAAATCGTGCTGTTGTGTTGTGGGAAGAAAGGCACAATTCAGTTCGGGTCGGCGTTTCTTTTTTGTTTCTGGTGGTGGAGGTCAAGGTTTACAAACGCCGAGCCCGAACTCCCCGATGGGTGCCAAGGCTCGTGTCCCGTGCGTGCATCATCTGTGAGTCACACCACTGCAATGGCGACCTCGACCCCATGCGCTGATTTTCACTGGATGTATATCCTGTCGCCGACCATTCCAAGGGAGTGTAATGGATCAGCGAATTCACGAAACTGTTCTCCCTTTGAATCTTCCCCGTCCACAGGAAACCATCCCTCATGGAGTCGCCTTTCATCACGCCGGCCTGGCCGACACTGAACGATCGGCGATCGAGAAGGCGTTTCGATCCGGGACTCTGGACGTGCTCGCGGCGACTTCGACCCTTGGCGCGGGGGTTAATCTCCCTGCAGGAAGAGTGATATTGAGGTGACGGTTTTTTGTTCATAGCTGTACAGAGATACCATGCTCCGCACGCAAGGGAATGGAATCGCGGTTACAGCTGCAACTATTAATTGATTGCCTCACGCCTTTTCCTGATAGGCGTGGGGCAGCAGTGTGGAGAATTTGATGGTAGGAGTGCTGTGTTGGAAGCGTACCGCGTCCTCGAACCCCCGCGTTGTTCACCCGAGTGCTGATTACGCATCCCTTGCCCCCCAAGTACGTCGCCAACCCTTCTTGCCTGCGTCGTCGTGCTGCCGGTTTGCCGTATCGGATATATATTCTCTTCTGCTTCGCCAGGAACATCAACGCCGTTGGAGGGGGGTTGAGCGCCACAAGGTCAGGCAGCGTGCGTGCGGTCGAAGAAGAGCTGTGATGGTGGTGGAGGGGTTGCGGGGCGAGTAGTGCGCTTGGACCGTTGTAGCGGGTCGTGAGACGCCCAGACCCTCAAATCTATTTGCAGCAACCGTGATGTGATCTCTGGCCTATCTTCTGCTTCATCGGCCATAGATCGCCCTAGTAGACCCCAAACACAGTGATGTGGAGAGAGCATTGCCAGCGACCCTCTTTGTCACCCCCCCGTCCTCCCTCGCTGATCACGCCCTCTCCGATATTTGTATTGAAAAGCTACCGTCAGATGGCCGGGCGGGCGGGGCGAAAAGGCGCGGGAAGAGCTCGCGGAGAGGCGCTGCTAATCGCTGCCAACAAGGGGCAGGCGGCGCGGGCAACAGGCCTCATGAACGCCGGTCTCGCAGCCGTAAGGAGGTGGGCGACGTGTTCCGCGGGGGACTCGTCTTGTGCTGTACTCTGTTTCGTGCAATGAAGATTTCTTTCTTGTTGGTGCTCGCGTCCTCAGTCAGTGGAACCTGTGTTGCTTACGTTGGCAGCTTGTTTGGTACATGGCAGGTTGTTTTTGGTTTTAGTTCTTCTGGGTGTTCCTGCAACAATTCCATGCTCTAGAATCTCAAACACAGTAACACTGCGATATACTTGTGTGTAGCCACACGGGGTTCACGTGGCAGACTTGTGATAGTGGTCCTCCTGCACCGCTTCTCAATGGGAATTATTCCCTCCCACGTTTCCGCTCACCCTGAGTCGTGGGCATTGAAAACGAAGCGTCCCTTTTTCCTACCGGACAATCACCCCCCCCCCCCCCAATCACGTGTACAGCGCGTTGACGCCGACGGCGGATGGGGGCACGGGTTTCACGAGGATGTTTCTGGAGGCCGTCTGCGGGAAGCTGATTCGAACTCGAGCAGATCTACGTGAGTAGCGAAGACACGGGACTGTCCGGTCCTCGGATGGTGGTCGCTGTTTCGTCTTCGTTTACGCGTTCGTCGGATGGTCACTCTGTGGTGTTCTTCGTACGTGATGTTTTCAGCGTGATCGATGGACCCCTATTGTGTGCCTGTGTTATTTCCCGCCGTCTTTGGACGGAGGGACGGGCTGCCCTGCGGTTTCTTCCCCCAACATTACGTGAGAGCCGAAGCCTTGCACAATCTTGACGTAAGTCGATGGTAGTGCGTACTTCGGAAAATGTTGTGCGGCTTGCGGAACTTTGGCCGTCGTTGCCTGTACTCCCCGTTCGAGGAGCCGCACAGGTTTCGTCGGATGTCGTAGTGAAAGGGGGGTCAGTCGCCGTGCTAGACCAGAAGGAGCACACCACCCGAACGGCTCGTTCGGCGGAATCGCAGTTTTCGACGTTTTTTTGTGCCCTACCCTAGCCACAGATGAGCCACCTCACGTGTCCCACAGACCCCTTACATCCACCATCCCCTTCCGCCCTCTCCTCTCCGCGTCCAACTTCTACCTGCCTACAAACCTATCTGAAACTGTTCCTGATGTACCGGTCCCGCTTACCAGCAATGCTTCTCAGGTGCACGTTGATCTTCCACCAACAGCCCGACGAAGCTGCCCGCGACCGGCTCCACGACTACGCCTGGGCAGCCATACAACTCCTCATCGACGAGGGCTGCGTGGAGCTCATCCAACGGCCGACCCCGGCTGTGGCCAAACCAATCGCCACCGCCACAAAGGCTACGGCTTCCGCCTCCCTCGTTGCTGCCACTACAAGTACATCGGGAGGAGGAGGAGGAGGAGGAGGAGGAGGTGGAGGAGGTGGAGGAGGAGGAGGAGGAAAAGGTGGAGGCAACAAGCGTGTCGCAGATACCGCTACACACGTCCCCGCTACGTACGTCCCGGCAACGAAACGGTCGAAGCCCATTGTCGTTGGACAGAAGCTGGGGGTGCAGACACCACCCGTTGTATACAATGACACCGCCGCCGCGGCGAGAGCTCGTCGTGCTACCGCGGCGATGTCGTGCGAAGCTCAGCATGGGGACTTCCGCAAGGAGCCCAGAAGCGGTGGTCTTGGTAGTGCAAGCGGGGTGGAGGAGGCGGGGAGCGATGACCGATTACTGGTGCCCACGAAGCTAGGGCTAGCCATCTTCCGCAGCTCGATGCCGCCTGGGGACGGGCTGATGATCTACAGGGATCTGTCAGGTATGGGTGGAGGTAGTTTCCGGAGGTTTGTTGTCTTCCCGCGGGCACTAAATAGCATGCCGAATGTTCGACTGCCGAGTTCGATCCTCATCCGTGCCGACTACACTGCGCCAGCCAGCACCGCCGTGGATTTTGAAACCTGCCCGGCATTGGCATCACTTTTACAACGTTAGTGTGCCTCCCGCTTGTGTGTTTTACTGAATCGCATTCCTGAGTATCATGTTTTTGTCCGTTCCCTCCAACGTCTGTATCCCATTTCTTCAAACCGAAATGGACACCGCCCTGCCGTGCACCCCACGAAACGTCGGATCGATCGTCGTTCCCCAGAGGCGAAGAACGGGATCAACCTCCGCCACACCCTCTACCTGGCCTACCTGCTCACTCCACTGAGCCCGCCGGCGGGACTCAAGCCGAACTGGGAACGGTTGCGGGCGGTGAGACAGCTCGCTCGCTCGTTCTGTTGATCAGTCCCAAATTTGTCTTGTGTTTAGCCTACGGGGGATGGGCTTGGCACGGCCTTCCTGACTGCATGTTAGGGGTGTTTGGTCTCGCGTGTTTCTCCTGCATCGAGCAAGAGTTGACCACGAAAAAGCATCCTGTATCGCCTTTTTACTGGTAACCCATCAATTCTAGCTATTGCTGTAGGGTTCTACGGCTTGTGTGTATCACGGTGGCCATATTTTTTTATTCGGAGGGTCCTAGCGTTTTTCGGGAAGCTCGCGGCAGTTGAAGTGTCCCACCGGTGCAGTTCGGCCTGTTTGTAGCTTGCTGGTGATCGTAGAAATGCCACAACGTGCGTGGTTTATGCCCTCCCTCTATTTCTGTGCTGCATTACATGTGGTGTCTGTATGTATCTCACCTCGAATATCGCAGATTAGTTGTGTTGCGCCCGTTGTTGATGCAATTCTTGGAGAGAGAGAAACAGCCGGTTGTATCAGTGAAGGACCAGTACAGAATTAGGGTTGCCGTTGCTGTCCTCTAGTGCTGAGAGAAGATGTCGACAACAACAACAACAACCACCACCGCCACAGCAAAGAGCGAATCGTTGTCACAACGTTAAATCTATCCACCCGCCCACTTACCTGACCCCCGACCGATGTCCTTGCCAGATGTACGCCAGCGCGCAAGCTGCGGCGGCAGAAACGCCCCCAGGCCCAAACGCTCACCTCGTCGAAGACTTCCACAAAATTGGTATCACAGAGAGCCAACTGCACCTGTGGGCGTCGAGGGGGCCGGGCGGGGGCACAAGGGAGGCTCCGCTGCTATCTCCGACGGCCGTGCAGCAGGCTGCTAGTGCTAGGCGCGGCGGCCGCGGCGAGGACGGTAAAACGGGGACCAGAAGAGATGCCCGCGGGTAAGTCGGTCTTCGGTGTTTGGTTCGAACATTGCATGGCTATTTTTTGGTTGTTTCCTGCCGGTTTTTCAGACGCGACCAACGGTGGTGGCGGTGGTATCGAACGCTGATGGGGGAAGAAGCGTTATGTGGGAAGTCGGTTTATTGGTAGACTTGATTGCTTTGCGGTTGGCTTGTCCTGGGCGGTTTTTGTCGGGTGCAGAGCCGACGTCTAGCCAACGTCTCGCACGTGATGCCAAGGGGACAATCGAGTCTCCGTCTCCTGTAAGAAAAACATTTTTTCATGGCACAAACTTGCGTGTGAGTTGGCATGTGTGTGGACCCCGCGTAAGCGTTGCGCTCCCCCTGGTGTAAATTTGTTCGTGCGTTGTGCGCCAGCCCCCCCGCCGATTTTATTGCGTTTATGCCCCCACCTTTTCTTTGTACGATGCCTTGTTTTCTGACCCCTGGTTTCCTGTAGTATTGTGTGAATGCGTTTTGTTTGTCTTTGGGTGTTTTGTGTGTAACAGAAGCGAGGAGAAGAAGCCTACGGGATTGAACCCGGCCAAGAGAGCGGTGCGTCTCGTCGCGGCCATGGCATTGAAGGACGTCTCGGATGGTTACCACCTTGGACAGGTGGGGGGACACACGAGGAAAGTGGATTACGGGCGCCCCACGGAATACTATTAAATGGCGTCAGGCCCCAACAAACAGGCCTAGAGAATGTTCTCCAACCCATCAGAACATTTCAAGTCGATTCTGAAAGGTTACCCCGTTCACTATAATAACACGCGCCTCGCGAGTACAGAGCGTTTCGGAAGTGTCCCACCGGCAACATTCGAACAACGTTTCGAGTGCCGTACCGTAGGCTGCAAAATATACCACACCCCCTGGACCGATTTCCAAACGTCAGTTTCTCCACGACGAAGAGGATGCGTTATTCAAACAATACTTTTTTGGAAATCTCTCAAGGAGACGGCGCCAACGCCACCATTTTGGCACCGCCACGCTTTGTGCTGCGGAGCAATCGAGCTTTATCGGTCCAGAGGCTGTGTGGTTTGTTTCGTCGCCACGTTACCCCTTCCCAACGACATGCACCTAACACGTTCCAGGGTGTGTGTTTTCCTGTTTCTGTAGAACCCACGAGCTGACATACCTCCGTTACCAATTTGATCGTCAACATCAACAACATGCCGCCAGGTGGCGAAGTCGTACGGCATGAACAAGGGAGAGCTGCAGAACCTGCGACAGTCGACTGCTACCTTCTCGGGAATGGTGGCGTCGTTCCTCAAGGTACATCGACAAGGCAGTACTTTTGCGCAGAACAAGGTACCACATATGTATCTCCGTTCATCTCACCGCCGACTGCCCTACACAGGGAAGATAGCCGCCCAGAAGAAGCTTACCCCCTTGGCGTCGATTGCAGAGAAAATACGAGACAGACGTGTGTTCCTTACTCCCTGCGTCTGAAGACCGCGAAAACAACTGTCCACGACAAGGCAAATGGCACAAGATGAAGCAAATACATCGAGGCCGCACATCAAACTGATTATCGCCCCTTGACGTACGTTACGATGCGCTTGACTCCCCCAATGCAATCCTCCGATTTCATAACGTGCCAAACCGTCTGCCCCACGCACCCACACCCACACGCGCGCGTTTCAGGAGCTCGGATGGACGATATTCCTGATGTTGGTCAAGGGACATATACCGAAGCTGAGCTTGGGCGTCAGCAACCAACTTCTACCCCTTATGCAGGTGGAGCAGCGTTGTGGTCTTGAAGCGATTGTTGTCGCGTTATCCTTGCAGGCATTCCTTCACTTCCCGACACGCGCAGCGCCACCTGCATTTATGCTTTGTTTCAACCTTCCGTATGCTGTTGGATTTTCCTTCTTGCATCAAGTTTTTACGCGGTCGCCTTTGATTTTCCAGTCTCCTTTTTTGTCCAATAGGCTTAACTCCCAGCGGGCTAAATACCTGTACGACGGTGGTTAACTGCTGTGCGCGTGCACATGTTCTGCTGTTGGTCTGCTGCGTTCCAGGTCCCGGGCATGTCTCGGACGGAAGCCAGCGCCCTGTTCCAGGAAGGCATCGTCAACGCCAAGAGCCTGCTGTCGGCTTCTAGCGACAGGGTGGCCACGGCCCTCAGGATCAACGTGCCGTTCCGCACCGCCACGAAAGGGGGGAGGGGTAAAGGTACGGCGGCAGTATGTCCCAGTCTCGAAATAGTGTGGTTCGAGGAGATAGTGTGGTTCGAGGAGAGGGAGAGGAGGAGGGGGGCACGAGTTTCGTAACGGTTTCCTGCGTGGATACCGGAGGCATGGCTAGCATGGAGACAAAAACGTGCATCTTCGTGGCGGCGGGTTCAAGAATCGGATCAGACCCTCCCACACGAATATGTACAGGACGATTTGTAATCGACCGAGCTGGTAGACTAAACTTCTCTGCCAGCGCTGGCCTACGGCTTCATTCTCTCCCACTCCTACACTAACCCCCCCCCCCCCTCGCTCTGTACTACATTATTGACAGACCGAGGCGCGGGGGGGTGCTTCCGCTTCGAGAGGAGGGCTCAGATGCTCGCGGATTCCGCTAGGGCGGTAGACACCAAGAGGTGATGAACGCGTTTGGCCTTGTTTTCCACAGAACTTCCACAGAGATTTTTTGCAGTTTTTGTCACGAATGTGAGGAGCGTGTTCTGGCAGACAATTTGGCAACTGTGGGGTGGGGCATTATGGCGTCCGTAGAAGACGGAAACTAGAGACACCATTCGCGTGGGAACAGGATAGCAGTGCAAATTGATCACATTACGAGTCCATTCTCACAACGAGGGAGGCAATGAAAGTCGGTGTTTGATGTGTAACTCCAAGGCGGTGGGGCTCGCGGATTGGTAGACAATAATGATGCAACGCTCGGATGCATTGCAGTTTTGTAGATGGTTGTTGGGAACATGGTTTTGTTGTCTTTGTTATCGGTCTTCAATAGGAGAAGTGATGGCCTGCTGTATCTGTACACCTCCCACCCAGAAACCTTTAAAAATCTTCGTAAGAATCCGAGAAAGCGACGCATGCATTCAACACCATTGCACGCGATCGATAACGTGCGGCAACGAAGACCTGACCACGAAGGTTGATGGTGCTGCTCGGATTGGACAGGAACGCGCACGTTTTCCCCTTCATAGAAGTCTTCGATCCCGCCAAAAATACGAGTAACGTGGTACCGAAAATCCCCTCTTTTTGTGTTTTCCGGCCGTACCCGACCGAGAAGAGAGAAGGGTAACAAGACGCAGGCGATGAAGCTTCTTAAGGCGGTGCGTAGCAGGCTAGGGAGCGGCGGCGGAGCAGTCGGCGGCGCTCTGGCGGAACTAGGCGGGGGAAACGACCTCGTCTGCATTGTGCCCAAGGTCTGCAACAGCAGATAGGCCTGTGCCAAAATATGTTGATAGCCGGGTGTATACGGTAGTTCTGGTTGGTTGAGAACGGTAGTTGCTTCCGCTTGTATTGTATAGTCTAGTATCATTTGTGCGGCACCCGAGGGGTGTACGACGCACAATGTACAGTGGAGTGAGCTTGCTTGTTTGGTTTTTGGTTTTGGTTTTTATGGTCACGTGGCTGTCTTGTAAGTTTCGATCCGTACGATGTTATGTCGCGAAAATTGCGTTCTGCAGCTGTTTGCAGGTGTCTGTCTGTTTACGGTAGGTTTTAGAAGAAGCTATTTCCTTGTGAGACCTACACAGTTATTCGCGCTCTTCATGCCCTCTCTCGATAGGCTTGGCCTTACCGGCCTACTTGATGCCTTTCTCAACGGCGGAAAGTTCGACTATTGGTGTTCTGATCCTAATCGATCGTAGTGCTCACCTGCTCTCGATAAATTTGTCTGTCGATCTCTCTCGGCGTGTATTGCTCTTTTCTCTGTGCTCTCTCTCTCGACGATGATGATACGTTCTGTGTGCGACACAAACATGGTCTTGGGTGGATTGTTGCGAACCCTAGCCCCAACACATTTTTGCTGCCGATGTTGTTGTTGTTGTTGTTGTTGTTTCCCCGCGAGAACCCTTTCTGGCCAGTTGAGGGTCTCCCAACCCTTTCGGGCATCATCTCTTTCGCAAATACTGCTTTATAAGACCCTACCCTGCTGAACATTCCGCCCATTACAACTTGGCGGTGATACTCGTTCAAGGGCCGGAAGCGCAAGCGGTCTCGGGGGCTCAGCTCCGGCCGTAGACCGGGGCATGGCGGTGGCGGTGGCGGCAACCTAGGCGAAACAGGACTTAGCGACGATGACGTCGAAAGCGACAGCGACGGCAGCAACAGCGATGAAGACGACGACGAGGACGATGACCTTAGCGAGGGGGGCGACGAGATTGACAATGCCGTGGCGGCGTTCTTGTCCGGGGTCGCGGAGGACGAGGACGACTCTGACGACTCTGGCGGTGATTGTGGTGGGGGCGGCGGAGACAAGGACGGCGATGTGGGCAGCAGCGACGCGGAGGAAAGACGACCTCAAGAGGGCGGGGGTGGTGCTGTCGTGGGAGGTGGTTGCGGCGGACTGAAGCTGGACGACGGGAACCAGGGGATAGGGTGCGCACTGTCGACGGGTGTTTGTTTTTTGTGGTGCTACGAGTGTATCCAAGGGTTGAGATCGCAATTGTTTGGCGTGTTTTCTGACTTAATGCAGCAACCTTGACCGCCTATGATCCGGCACCGGTCAACCCGCCGGCCGTTCGATGCTTTTTCACGCGCTATCTTCGATACCCCGACTGCCCCACGCTTCACGAGCGTGAAAGTGTTCGGCACTCTTCTCTGTGGTATTTATTCGTGCCCCCTCCATTCCAGTCTTGACTTCCCGCTCCCCTCCGCGATAAAATTTCTCTGGACCACCGCATTGCATCAACACCGCCTCCTGTCGACTCCTGGGGTGTTCTCTTGTCTCGCGCGGTGGCAGTAGGTTACTGGCAGCCCAACCAATGTCGGCGTGGGCTCCATCTCCCCACCAACAACAACAGTCCACGGTACCACTGCTAGAAATCCGCGATTCCGCGGCAGGGGTAGCGCAGCGAGCACCGCAGCAGCAAGGAGCCGGTAGCGATGGCCGCTTGCGTGGATCTGTCCCTGCGAGAGACACGCAACGAGGGCTGGGCAAGTCAGAGGTTGCCCCCTCGGTGGGAGCGGGATGGCCGATCCAACGGTCTGGTCCGTTCCGCGGAGCTGGCGGGTCTGATGGGCAGGGGCTGGTCGTCGCCGCCGAGGAGTCTCCCGCCATGTCGGCGGCCGAAGCCTTGATGACCCCAAAAAACAGCTGCTGTGGCAACGGGGGGAAGCCTGGCTCCCGTGAGAATGACCGCACCATGAGGACCCCCGTACGGCGGCTATCCCCAGACTCCGGGTCGTCGTCCTTTCTGTACGAGGCCGGGACAGACAGTTGCCCGGCGATCCTTGGTTCTGCCGACGGCGAGGACAACAGCGAAGATCACTTCCCTCTGGACGTAGGAGGAACAGAGTCAACGTCTAGAAGAGATTCAGCCGCCGCCGCCGTTGTAGCTGAAGAGCAAGGGGATTTGCGGATCGGTCCCGCATTTGCGGCGTGTCGTGGTCTGCGCGCCCCGACTGCCGGGAATCAAGCAAGAGGGAGCCACCGCAGCGCTGAGGGTAGGAGGCAAGTGGATTCCTCGGACGTGTTCGCCGGGGGGGCGGCGGCGGTGGCGGAGTTCTCTTCGGCGTGGCGGCGCTCGAAGTGCTTCTCCTTCGTGCTCGGTAGCCGCGACTTGCGGTGGCTCAGGAACAGCGGCAGCGGTCATGGCGGGGGAGCGGGAAGAGGGGATCGGCGTGCGTGGGAGTACCGGCGGTCGTGGGAGGCGTTGGTGGCATCACCAGCATTGCCAGTGGCGCCTTACACGGTTCCGTCGGGCGGGGAGGGCGGCGTTCCTCTGTCTCAGCGTGGGCATGGAGAATCGTGAGTGTGTTTGGTGTGAGGGGAGACGTTTGATGTTGGGCGGCTGGAGTGAGGGCGGAGAGGTGTGTACGTTTGATTATGGGTATCGGAGGTGATGCCCTATTTCTGTCCCGTCCGGGGGCGGGGCCTCTCTCTATGCTGTGTCAAGTGAGGTGCAGCCTCTAGCCTATGTGCTTGCATATCATTGTTTCCTCCGGTCCACGCCTGGTTTGCCCTGTCTGCGGGGCTCCTTGGCAAAACTAGGTCGCGGTCGATGAAGTATTGGTTGACGCAAACCAGAGGCTCAAAATTTTGTTATTGTTGAGTGAATCGGGTCTCACTAGCAATGTCCTAGGGGTCCCCGTGGGTCTCCGCGGCCAGCGGTGTGGCAACAGGTTTCATGTTTATTCCAGCGTAAAGAAACTCTGGGATCGAAAGCCTGTGTGCAAGCCGTTTCATTTCGAAGCAGTCTATGGCCGGCGGTTGAGCCCCACTTGAAGCTCCCGTTCTCAACTACAATGTAAGGAGTACATATGAAGTTTGAAATGAATCGTATGAGACCCCTATTCCCCTTGTTGCCTCCCGTCGATCGCACCCCCCGCTCGTCCACACGAAGGTTGCGAGTGGTGAGCGGCATCGCCATCTCCTTTGACGGCCAGACGTCACGCTATCTGCCGCTGCCTCCTCTCCTGCCGAGCCGTTCCGCCGCTTGGCATCAGTCCCCCTCTGACTGCGCCGACCACGCCAGACGAACCAGCGGGGGGGGGAGCCGTGTTGAACCTGGGAGCAATGGAAAGGGGGTCGGCGTGGGCAGGGCTTCAGCTCGCTGGGGGGCACTGCCCGGGGGCGCGCTGGAGTCTATCGCCCTGTTTGTGAGTTTTCGTGTTCCGTCGGAACATGTCGGTCTTGCAGAAAGCTTTCGCGGCAATAGAAGGGGTATATCTTCTTTGCGTCTGCTCTATTTGCTTCGAGCGCCTCGGTTTTTTCCGTTCACTTTCAGCTCTTCACCTTCACGACCTTCCAACCTCACCAACATCACCCCTTCCCCTTTTTTTTCCCTACACGCCTGCTCACTTTACTCGCATGCAAGAATAGCACACAGGGTGTTCAAACGTGGTTTCCTTTGCCCTGGCCGCTCTCTTGATTCTCTTCTTCTTTCAGGTTGGGTTTCCTTGGCTGTGCGCCGGCTGCGGCAGCGAGCGACACAGCACGAGGTGCCGTAGTCACAGCCTGGCTGACGACGGCGTTGACGACGGCGGCGGTAATGGCAGCGGGAAGAGGCGCCGGCGCAAGCTCAGACCTTGGAACCAGGCTCTCCTGGTCTGCCGTAGGTGGAACGCGCTTGGGGTGAGCGAGATAATATGTGTATGTTTTTGCTCTCAGTAGCCTTCCCTGGGTTTTTCTATTAAGAAAACGTGTTGGATAAAGGATGCAATCGGGGGAAGTTGGATGAGGGGTAGGGTTAGGGATAGGGTCTGCGTGCCCCCTCCCTGCTCTATTTCCTCATGAACAATTTTTCTCGCGAAGGCGGTTCCTTGCTCTTTTGTGCATGTTCCACGGCGAAACAGTACTTTTGAAGTCACGTGTGGCATCTCTCTGTGCTCAATTTGCCGTGAAAGAGACAAGAGCCTCAAAGAAAATGAGGTTGGGAAATAAACGTGGCATAACAAATAAGAACATGCCCCCTACCACTAACGGCCTGCGTTCCATTTGCTGACCAAATTATCTCTCCAAAACCATGCTGCTCGTCCGACCAATCTGAACGACAACAGGTCGAGGCGCTCAACCGACTGACAGCTGAAGAGCCAAGTGGTCGGTGGGGGTTGCTCAGAGACGTGATGGAGGAAAAAAATACGACAAAGGTGTTAGTGATGTGCAACGCACGGCCGATTTTTCTCTTTCCGGGTGCATTTCTGCCAGCGTTGGGGTGTTCAGGTGATGCAAGTGCGTCGTTTGCAGAAGCTTGATATTCACGATTGGTCCATGATGTTTGTTTGGTGAGCATGTCACGCCGCCGTTCGCTACACGACTTAGTTTTCCCTCTACGGCCTCGTACCCTGTGGAAACTCTCTCGCTTTCGATCACAACCAGGCGGTCAAGCGGTTTAGGTTCAAGCCCAAGTGTTCCTGACAAATGGAAACTTCTGCTTGCGGCATATGCGATGTATTTCTGTGACAGCGTACTGATGTTTGAGTGCCCGCCGCTGCACATCCCTAGCACTACCCCCCGCTGACCCCGCCCCTTCACCCGAACCTCATTTCTCCCTCAACCTAGTCGTGCTTCCATACAACAACATTGATTGGTACCTCTATCCCTCAACCAAGACATCAACTTTACCGCCACCACTGCCCAATCGCCCCCGCCACACAATAGGTCTGTCTGGATATGAAGGGCTCTCTAGTTTGCCTCCGATCTCTCGGCGTGAACGTGAAAGGGCCCCTAGAAGACCCCGCCGTGGCAAGGTGGCTTGCGGAGCCCCCCATCGAGGACACCGCGCAACTACAGCAGCAGCAGCAGCAGCAGTTGAAGCGGGCATCGAAGAAGCGGAAGACACCGCTACCGCCGCCCCGCGCTCCTCCCGCGAGTCTAGCCCTAGCGAGGTGGGTTGGGTGGGTTAGTTCTGAGATTTTTTAGACAATTGGGTCATACTCTACGGTGTGACCCGAGAGGATGTGTGGGCTTGGACCTGACTAGAAGCCTCGTAGACTGGGGTGTCGACAAAATGTCGATATTGATAGGGAAGCGTCAAGCGTCCGTTCAAGTTCAGCGCGGAGCAAATGGCGGACGTTGTATTAGAGCTGACCTCCGGTTTTTGGCGGGTGTGATGACTGCTATTGGGCGTGCGTGCATGTGATTGCGGATAATGCGCCAGGTGACGCATAAGTTCGTGTGTGAGAGGGAGGACCTATTCAACCGCGAATATATGTAGTCATCTTCTAGAGGGTGAGGTGTTCGGTGACATCGTCGGTGGTGCTGTCAGCGGAAAACGCTTATCAGGAAAGACGTACTTGGTGATGCTGTTTCACACACGGCCGACTACATACACGCACATTCGCTGCCAGACTGACGTACGTATTTTCATAGTCCGTGAGCGCGATCGATGTTAGTTCAAGAGGCACGCGCATGTACGCATTCATACCGCCTCTGCCCTCCTCCCTGAAGGCTTCTTCTCAAGAAGCGGGTGCGTAGGCCTGCTGGCTTGTCGTCTCTTTTATGGTGCAGTTGTGTCAAGATAATGGGTACCGTGTCGACGCCATCACATATACCTTTTTCGGTCACCCTTTTCGGGAAGACCACACCGTATAGCCGACGACGCCTGGTGAGGGAAGAAACTGCTTTTTATTGAGACGGTAACGAACTGAAAAAATTCTCGAAATCTTGGGGAAAAACGATTGGAATCAACCACGTGGAGAAGCCGGCAGTGTTCTAGAACTAGAGCTTGGTTCGTGGTCCGTGTCAAGCCTTCTCTGTTAATTTGAGGGACTTGTCTCCTCGAAAAAACTTTCCATGTTGACGCCAATCCGTCGTTACCTCCCCGCCGAAGAAACTTACTTCCGCATCCCCTTTCACTCGCTCGTGTTTGCCATCGGAACCACGCGTGCGGCGTCGGCAGGCCGCCGGTTGATGTGGTGGACCTCTGGTGTTTGCAGGCTGCGGCGACGCTGTCCTTTATGGCAGAGAAGGAGCAGGCTCTCAAGGATCTGAGCCTCACGCTCCCGTTCTTTCTTCTCGAGGTACGTGTTCGTATGTGTGCATCTACACAGCACGCGCGTACCGGCGTGTGTGTATTGGTTAGTTAGCATCGACCGCGATAACCGACCGGGCAAGGAATCAAAATCGTTGCGTCACGACGCGCGGGGCATTGTTTTTCCACCAGCGTGATGAGAGCGGGAGAAATTTTCTTTCGCATAGCAATGTTCTTTTTCGTTCCCTCAGAGCAGTTTCGTTGTGTGGCCAATCCAAAGTATCTCTTGGAGAAGTCCAACTTAATGTACCAGCACTGCGGTCAGTTTCATCGTCGATTCATGCACTCATTCCCTCGTTTGCGTCGAAAACACGAACACATGTTTACGATTCACGCGCGAACTTTTTTCAGATGCCGGCGGTTTCGGCGGCGGCCTTGATGGAGTATTCTGGCCTCACACTCAAGGTTGGTCTTGTCGTCGGCGCGCGCAGAGAAGTGGAGCTTCGCTTGGACGACCTAGAAAGGCTCGCGGAACAGCTCGCTGGAGACTACGAGGTACCCCACCTCCTCCCGGAGAAAGCTATAGCTAGATACGGAGAGGTATCGGATGCAGTGTCTTGTTTCTGGTTCGCATTGCTGAAATGTAAAATGTCAAAGGGCCGGAGGTGCCTGTTTCGCCGCTCTGTCGAGATGTGTAGTCAATGAAGTAAGAGATGTTACGCAGTACGTGGGCTTGCGTTAAATGAGTGGTCTACACCCCCCTCCTCTAGTCTGTGAAGAACCAAAGATTTCCTTCACATAGTTTTTTCACCTGTGTTTTTGTTTGTTGTGGTTTGATTTGTCCTGCACAATATTTACAAACATGAGATGTTTCTCTCTCAGGGCCTAAGCTCGCCGCTCATGGTTTCACTCGACTCTCGGTGCTTGGCGTCTGGTGCGGCGCTTCCTTCTTGGTAGACTGCAGCCCCGTGGATTATCGTTCGTCGTTCCACACGCTACTGCTGAGTAAGATATTGTTGTTTCTCGTAGAGCTGGGGGTGCTGCCACATCTCTCCCTGGTCTCCGCACCTGCGGCAACATTGAAAATGACGAGACAATAGTCGTCGCGCCGCACGGTTACTTTCTCGTCTTGCTGGTGCTGTTTCTCGATAAAACCCACTACGTACATCCGTAGGGTGTGTACCCTTTTGGGGGTGGTTGACCTGCGACCACGGAAGGCGTCGGCGAGTGTTGGACCGGCACGGTTGCTATAGGGTACCGAGCAGAGACCGGGATGGCTTTCGATGTTAAGACAACAACGACATCAATCATCACCAACAACAATACAAACATGACCCAAACGGCAGGTGACATTGTAGCCACCAAGAGTCACATACCCCCACCCAGGGCCATTCGGTATCCGCCCTACTGCCGCAACACTGCACAGCGCGGTATTCACGAAGCCCCAGCACGCACAGCAGTTAGTTGTGCTTCGTCTTGCGTTATCTTTTCGTTGCCGAGCCCAAAAAAACGCCTTCATGCATACCATCAAACAACCTTTTTGATATCCGTGTAGGAACTCGACGACAAGACGGCACTGGCCAGCCCCAAGCGCATCCACGACATGCTGTACGTGACGCTAGGGGTGAAGCCCCCGCCGTCTTGGACATCCGGGAGGGGCAGCGGTGCCGGTGGGGGAGGCGCGTCAAAGAGGGCTAGCCTGGGACCGACGGACACCAGCAGTCTCCAGGAGCTGTTGAAGGTCTCCGCCGTTGCAGCAGCAGCAGCAGCAGCAGCTGCTGCTGCTCTTAGTAGCGGTGGTGGCGGTGACAGCAGTGCTGCTGCAAGCGCTGCTGCCGGAAGTGCTTGTGCTCCTGCCGTTGCTGCTACTGGTACGGGCGATCCTGCAGCTGCTGCTGCTGCCACTGTTGTTGCTAGTAGCGCTGGTGGCGGTGGCAGCAGTGCTGAAGGAGGTGGTTGTGGTGCTACCGCTACACGCGATGCGACTAGTGCTGCTGCCGCTGCTGCGGCTGGTGGGAGTATTCGTGGGGATAGTGGTGGTGGTACCTTTCGCCGTGCCCCTACCATCCTGACCGAGGTGAGAGATAGGGCCACGGCGGCTTTCCTTGAAAATATAATGGGTCCTTTGTTGGGCGTCAACGATTCTTCTCAACTTCGAACAGCAACAACGTAGTGGTCGTGCAACATCACTCTGGGCATCCACCGTTGTTTGCCAGCACGGTGACGGAACAAATGTCGCGAACGCAAAGCCCGCTTCACTTATGGTTTGTCCTGCCTCCTACACAATTCTCCGGAACCGGCCCCTTGTACGTGTGTCCAACGGCAATTTATTTCTCGTTGACCCTGGGCACAGGTGCAGATCCCTCGTATTCGTTCCGAGGCGAGAACAATGCAGCACCGAATATCTGCTAGTATACCACTCCCCACCCCGTATTCGGCATGCCCCCTCCCACATGAATTTGGTGGTCTTGAATCCAGCAAGCCCGCAGCTTCATTCTTGCCGTGATTCGGCATCGCTACCTGGCACCGGCGAAGCGCTCTCTCGCCGGGCTGTTGGCGACGAAGCGACGGCATCCGCACCTAGGTGTGTGCACGTGCGGATTGGAGTCCGTGTGCGGTGATGCAGGTTATTCATTTTTATGAGAGTTTGTTTCCACGGCCGGCCAGAACACGGAAAACAGTTCCGCAACACACGTGTCCGGTATACATCGAAAGCCTTTCTCTCTCGTTGATGTAACGGTTCTTGGTCCACATCCGTCCCCTGACCCCCGTCGCCTCGCCCTCGGTTGTCGCCCTCGGTTGTCTCCCCCTCTTCCTTCCTCCTCGTCCTAACACGAAACCCAATCAACTACTACCAAGACGGAGTACGCGTGAACCCTCGGATCGACCTCTTCACGACGACGGGCAGGATGATCACGTCCGACCCGCCGCTGCAGAACCTGGACCACAAGATTGTCCTGACGAGATCGTGGCGGACAAGCTTGGCCGAGGAAATGGAGGTCGACGTGCCTGGCTTGGAGGTGGGGAGGCGTAACACTGCACAAACGTTCTCCTTTTGGGGCCCCGTACGTGTACTGTATGTGGTTGTACCGGTTTCAATCACCATTTTTCACCCTGAAGGGACCGGTAGCTTCGAGTGCGTCGTCTTCTTGGTCGTACTGTGTTGGTTCTGACGGTATGCCGACTGAGGGGGTGCGTGTGAGCTACTTGCTGGCGGTATTGGTTGTTCACGGCGGTGCTCTGAGAGGCCTTTTTGGCGATGCCGTCGCGGCCCAGCCTCTCGGACGAAACGGAGGCCAGCCCCGCCCGGTCCTGAACGCGGGGGAGTGTGCGAATCCTGTAGCACTCTGTACACCGCCGGCGACCGCCCTCAGCTCTATTCTCTCTCTCTCTCTCTCTTCTCCTCGTTTTTTGCGGTCCAGATCGTGCCTCGAGTATGGGCGGATGCGAAGGGAGGGGATCCCCAGCCGGGAGGCCGGGGCGCGGTTACACCGCCGCGTCTGAGTCCGGAGGCGGAGGAGGAGTTCCGAGAGGCGGTAAGGTAAGACAGATAGCCAAAGCAGAGGGCTGGAGAAGACACACGTGGCGCGAGAGAGGAACCCGCACGCCCTTCACGAGGGACGCATGGCCGTAGCACGTTGTGCTGCGTCGATGTACCCTTTTTGGTGCCTGGTTGCTGATGTGAATGTTGGTTCACATGCCATCAACGCACTGACACTCCCTGTTGTTGTTTTTGTTGTTGTTGTTGTTGTTGTCAAGGTGGTGTTGAAAATGCTTTGCTGCAATCGTTTGCCGGTGCGCTTGACGGCTGGCTTGCGATCTTTTCACTTGTTGGAAAACATCCAGCGTCGGTGTTTGGTCAATGTGGATGCTTCGTTGGACAGGTCTCGCGCCTGAACGCATGCTCTGCTGCCATGTCTTTGTCTCCCTCGAAATCTTGAAAACAGTCCGTTAGAGATCGCTTCTTTTAGTTGGCTGAGTTTCTTCTTCCTGTTACCGGTTTCATCCACTTCTAACAACAGTTTCGACACAAAAGGATAACTTGTACTTCTAAGCCTGTTGTGTCCGATGCTGTTCCATCTTCCTTCCAAAAAACGGCAGGGTAACCCTGGCCCCCAGAGGAGACGCGGCCAGCATGATGAGCACGGGTGAGATCGTGGCGATCGTGGAAGACAAATGCCTCAACGACCCCGTCCACAGGCACACTGATCCCGATGATGACGTCGGAAACGGACCACCAGCCGCTCGCGCTCCAGAAGACCCCGCCGTGGGCGCCGGAAGCATGGTAAGAACGGTGTGCGGGTGGTTGTCTTCCTGGAGGGGATCGGGCCTTGTCTGTGGGGCAAAAGTCTCCGATTCTCGGCCCGTTTGTAGTTATGGAAAACCCGGGGTGTTTTTTGTTGTGGTGTGTGTCCTGATTGGTGTGGGTAGTTGGAGAAGCCGTTCTCGTGGTTCAGAGAGGTTGTGATCGAGGAGCCCTCTGTAAACAGGGAACGTCACGGGATGAAGGCGTTTTGGTGTCGGGGTGCGGGTGGAACAATAAGAATCGCTGTGTGTGAACCTGGCTGCATTTTCCACCACGTCGCCCCTCGGTGCAAGAAGTACAGCAGGAGCATGTCGAGGGAAACACGTGCTTTTTTTACCGCGGGTCGGGAGATCAGCTCTGCAAGAGTCGTGCGTCCAGAGGGTGCCATGTAGGACGGCTACGGAAGAAACAAAGCATTTTCTGTTGCTTCTACGACCCCCCACCCTTGCCCTTCCCGAAAAAATGCAGGCCTAGTTTTACATTGCGAAAGCCGTAAACAGTAAACATTACCTTGTGCCTTTATGGGGACCAAAACCCCTGGTGTTTGGTTTGTTTGCAGGCGTCTCTTTGGCGGGAGAGCGGTCACTCGTACTCGTCCTGGGAGGCAGAGAGCACGAGGCAGGTGCTGGTGAGACTGGGCGGTCGACACGGACGGGTGTACAGCTACCCTGCTGATAAGGTGAGAGCGAGAGCGAGAGCGAGAGCGAGACAGACAGACAAGAGGTAGGAGGGGGAGAGGAAGAGCGGCGAAATAGTACTGGAACGAATATTTAAGAGGCATGCTCAATGGCATTCGCGCGAAGGATATTGAACGCTGCTGCGGCTGTGCTCTTGACATCATGCAGAATTTTGCTTCTATTTCAAGATCTGTGTCATCGGAATTGTCGTCGTCGATGCTGTTGTCGTCATCGACATTGCTGTGGTTGCCAGGTCTTCCGAGTGCAGGCGAACTTTTTCAGCGACGCGAACGCCGAGGCCATGAAGGACGGGGGGCTGGGGGCCAGGTGTCCCTGGTTCGCCAAGGAAGCAATGATTAAACCCAGGGACAGCCTCGTAGCGTCCCCGGGGTATGCTTTCGTGTCCGCTGACTACTCGCAGGTGATGAAATGTGTGCGTACTCGGGGTGCGCTATTGATGTGAGCACACATCTTCCCTTGCGTGAACGCTGCAGCCGCGCTTCCGTTGTCGTTTGAGTCTGAACGTCGCAAGCACGGAAACGTCAGCGGCTATGATCTACATCCCCAAGCTGGAACACACCCGAGGGACTAGAACGTTGGTTTGCTGCAAACTCGTTTGATGTCCGTGGGTGATTCTGCGACGATGACCTCTACCTTGCTTACCGTAGATTGCCTCCCTTGCACTCTATGGTTTTCGCGGAGACGGACGCCGATAGGTTGATCGGGGACTACGTGGTGAAATATTTGTAGTTTTGCAGGGAGCCACATTACCCGTTTTGCAACCGTACAAGCGGGTGTTGCTTTGTGGTCAACCGCAGCATGATGGGATCAGGCGCGGAAGGATGTCAGATTTATATCTTGGCAGTGTGGGCTGTGGAGATGGATTGGGCTGGAATCTAAAGCTGTATCATACAAACTGACAATCATGTTTCACGTGTAATCTCTTCGAACATCGATGGGTTTCATGGTACCGCAGTGCCGTTTCTTTGGATTCATGTTATGGTAGCTGTTTGGAAGTGAGTCGATGCGGGCGGACGTTTCATCTCCTCTTAATGCTTTTGCGGTTAGCGTCGTCGTCTTGTGTGCGGAGAATAAAGCAGTTCTTCAACATTTCGCAGAGATCGGGTGATGGCAGAGTCGGTCCCTTCCTGCCCACCTGATACTGACAGTTCCAACACAACGCTCAGCACACAGATGTACGACCCCCCACCCCCGCCCGCCACCCATGTTTTCCCGCCCGTCGCATATTGCTACGATGCAGGTGGAAATGCGACTGATGGCCCATCTCTCGGGCGACCCTGATCTTCTGAAAGTCTTCGCCGACGGAGGGGACGTGTTTCGGACGATTGCGGCGGCGCTGAAGGGAAGGGGCAAGAAGGCCGAGGACATCACAGAAGAGGAGCGCCGTCAGGTTCGTTCGGTCTTGAAATGAGATGCTGGTTGATGTCGTGCCTCTCTTCTTGATCCATCGAACGGTGCGTCTCTTTTCTAGCGTTTGTGCCCTTCTTGGTACAAATCTGGTACTGCAACTAATGTGTTTCGTGTGCTCACCTACCCATCGTACCTACCATTCTACACCCGACGTCGTTGCTCAGTTTTACCCAACGGTCCCCTCGTACCCTCTCCCCCGGCCCACCCCTGAGGTGTCTTATGCACTATCAGTGCGGTTACTCTGAGGCACAAAGGACAATAAAACACATGCTCCGTCCTCTCGAGGACGCGTGGTCAATGCTAAGACATGCAAAATAATAGAGTTACGCCCCCCGCCCCCGCCTTGGACGTGTTGGATCGACTCTCCAGACGAAGATCGTCGTGTACGGAGTGCTGTACGGGCAGTCAGCGGACGCTCTCGTGCCGCAGCTGCGCCTGAGCCGTCCCGAGGCCTTCAAGATCAGGCAGACGGTGCTCAAGACGTTCCCGAAATTGACCGAGTTCCTCAAGAAGGTCAAGGAGGACTGCAAGGAGTGCGGGTAAGACTAAAAAAAAGGGAAGAGGGGGAGAGGGAAGAGATCAATTCGAGTTGCTAAAACGTTTCCGTTCCTTAGGAGGGGGGGCGGATGGAACGGGACGGAACGGGACAGACAAGGTTCATGTTTCTCACAACAAATTGTGCGGAGTTATCGTAGAAGTAGTCATCTCCTCTTGCGCGGTGTACCTTCGTTACCGTCACACTTGCCGATTGGTCAACGACTGACAAAAAAGTCAGAGTTAGGTCAGCCACTATCTTGAGGCAGCGTACACCGCTGACGGTAGCAAACGGAATAAGGCTGCGCCTTATGCCAATAGTATACCACATAAGATAACACTCGCCGGGGAATAGAAATACATTTTTTTTGCCGGCGAAAACGTTTCCAACACCGCTGGGTGTGGCGATTAGAATTTGACACTACTTTCACCAGGAGTGATTTTCGTTGTGTGGGGGGAGTTATGTCGTTTGCGGGTTTGTTGTACGTTGTACGGTACACGGTGTAGCCCTTGCACCCGTCCGCACTTCAACCTCTTTTGCCAACACAGGGCACGTTGGGTTCTCACCGCCCGGGCGAGCACCGCAAACGAGAAGAGGAAGGTTGAACAGGAACGACGGAACGAAAATGATGCCCGCCGGGTAGATTAACAGGAGGTGCCTCCGATCCTCTTGCCCGTTCGCAGATCCTCCGCGGGCATGTTATTGTAACACGATCAATGAAGTCTTGTGTGACCTCCTGCACCACCCGGTGTCTGCTGGTAGCGAACAGACCTTGGCCGCGATCTCATTCTCTTCCTAAATTGTTCTTTGCCTTAGAAAGACATGGACATCCATCTTGGAGGAGCGCTGGAATTCTTACCCCCCCTCCCACTTCCCGCCTTCTTCCCATCAACGAAGCACTGGTATGAAAGAAACTGTATTGAATTGACTAGCCCCCCCCCCCGCGCACGCCCCATCCCACACACTCACCATGACTCACGGCGCGCGAAAGGTACGTGGAGACCCTGTTGGGCCGTCGGCGGTACTTGCCCCAGATCAATTCGACAGACAAGGCGGAGAGGTCGAGAGCTGAGCGGCAGGCCGCAAACACCACCACGCAGGGATCCGCGGCCGACTTGCTCAAGCTTGCCGCAACCAACGTTGCTGCCAGGTGCGGGCTGGTTTCACACGCGCCGGTTTCCAAGCGTTTGGTCTCGAGATCACGACAGGTCGCATGGAGAGGGTTTGGTGAAACCTTCCAAATGATTGTTCGTGCCAAGGGCGTGCTTCTCGAAAACAACATAACCTCCGACGTGGCTTGGTCCAACGATGCCAGTGCTCTTATCCGCTGCTGTTTTGCGCTGCAACAGTCGCAATTCCGAGGAAACTGTGCCCCTCGCTACACGCTGGGTGCCGTCTCGAAGGTCTTTGCCGAACGCAGTTTTCGCGTCTGGCGCGGTTTATGCGATACTGCGACGCCAGAAAGAACAAAGAACCCTCATGACGCTCCTTCAACTTCCATATTGTTAGTGAACATTTACACCTAGACTTTGCATGTCTGACGTCCTTGATGCCTCCCTCCCTCGGTTCCGCCGGGTTCCCCCAGCACTCATTTGGAAGAAAATCCCTCGCCGGTCGTCTTTCCCATACCTCTCCCTGCCCCCTTCCCACCCTGTAGCACCACCACGCCCATGCAGCCACATCACAAGAGCCCTCCCGCCCCCCCGCTCTCCATGCAGGCTTGAAAGGTGCGAGTGGATGTCAAGGCCGGCGGGTAAGCCCATCTGCACCCCGCCTCCCAACGCCGCCGCCGGTGGGACCTCGTCCTCCGCGCTTGCTTCTGGCACTGCTGATGCCACTGTTCCCTGTCGGTTTCCGCGAGACGGTGGTCGATCTCAGCTGGCGAGACGTCCGGCATGCCGCCTGGTCCTGAGCATCCACGACGAACTACTGTACGAGGTGCGTGGGGCTGTTTCGGCCAGCGTAGAAGTACGATACTGCGCGTTGTTCGCATTGCACTGTATTTAATGCGCGTTGGTCGATGCCAATGATATGGCCATGGTCCGGTGCAGTCTTCATGTGTGTGTGTTGTGTGTGTGTGTACTCATAGTCGTGCGTGCCGCAGTCGTTAGAGCATTGACCTCGCGTTTCTACAAAGCCGGGACGGACCACGCCGGGTTCTCACCGGACCAGGCTCTCACGTCACCAAGCGCGAAGCGCCGTGAGGTATTCGGGGGTCGCATGAAGGGTGCGCTGCATCCTGCTAAGGGTGTTCGGCATCTTGTGCTTAGTTCCTTGCGTACGGATGACAGCTGCGTATGACTTCATTTTATTTTCTGGTACTTTCACTTCCAGAGACATTTGTAAGCGCTGTGTAACTGCCTCGAGGTTGCTTGACCAATTTAAAGCAACGTGCGGCTATCGCATTTGCGCGGATTGAGGGTTCTCGACCCCGCACAACATAATCTACTCGACAACCGTTCATGGTTACCGCAAAAAAAACGAAGGCAAAAAAAAAGTGGAAACCTGGTCGCTGAGCTCACGAAGTGATCTGCTTCTTTTACAACATCGATGCCAAGCGACAAAAACCAACCCCGATGGCAAACACCGGGGGGGGGCGCTTGTTTTACAATGTCGTTGCCAAGCGACGAAACCCCAACCCCGATGGCAAACATCGCCGGAGGGGGGGGGGGGGGTTGGTGATGGATACCCCGGACGCGAGAATAGTAGTGGTGCGGAGTACACCTCGCCGGGTCACATGTTGCCTGCTTCGACATGAAACCCAGCCGCTGTGAACCTTGTACGTCTCTGTGTTCCTGTGGCAGACTGGATAAAGCACGCTTTTCGTTCGTCAAACCTCCCACTCATCCCGCATCAATTGACATTTGATGGGTTTCTTGCATTCAGCTTCGTTCTTCAATAACTCGTTACGGTGTGCATATGGTGACGTACTAGTAATGATTGGTCCATCCTTCATCTGGAGCTCAATCGTAGCATTGGCGCAAACAGACCGGAAATGTCAAGACGAATAGAGGCGACTCCAAGACATCGTTGGCCCCTACGGGCAAAGCGTGGGACAAATTGTTGCAAAACCGCGCATCCGCTAAAAAGACCCCCAAGGGCCAAGCCTTTCGTGTTTTTGCTCGGGACACCGTTCGTGCCCAAAAACACCACCATTCAAAGCAATCTGATCGCTAGGTAGGGTGTCCATTGGAACAACAAGACCTCGTCGACCCCCCCCCTCCCCCCCCCCCTCGGCCTTGTTTGCCATCGGGGTTTGGGTTTTCGTCGCTTGGCAACGACGTTGTAAAACAAGCCGCCCACTCGGTGTTTGTCATCGGGATTGGGTTTTCGCCGCTTGGCAACGACGTTGTAAAACAAGCCCCCCCCCCCCGGGGTTGCCCTCAGGAATGGGGTTTCCTCCCTTGGCAACCACCTTGTAAAAAAAGCCAAATCTATTTCTGAAATCCGCCACCAGGGTACCGGTTTTTTTTTTTACCCCGTTTTTTTTTTTTGGCGGAAAACAAAAAGGGGGGCGAAGAAAAAAAGTTGGTGCGGGGCAAAAAACCCCCCCCCCCCCCAAAGGGGAATAAACACCACGGTTTGTTTAAAAAGGGCAAAATTCCTCCGGGGAATTACAAAGGGTTTAAAATTTTTTTTTGAAAAAAAAAACCCAAAAAAAAAAAAAAATACAAAACAAAATTTCTCTCCCACCCCAAAAAAAAAAAAC